ATTTCTTTTTTTTTTTTTTTTTGCCTTTAGTAAATTTCATCCAGGTGAAGCAAAAACTGTAAAACATATCGACAGAAAAAGGTGAGCTTCTGAAATGCAGAATGTATTCTTTTCTTGTACAGTTTGCTTACAAATGTTCTCCTTTTTAGTCTGAATACTCCAGATAACAATTAATCGATTACTAAATTAGTCGATGATAATCTCAACAACTGATTAATCACTATTAATCGTCCCAGGCCTTACTGTTAATCTCCGTTTGGCCCAGAGCTAATTGCAGAAATCCTAATGAAACCAAAGCAACTGAAAAGCCGTAGCTTTCTCTCTCTATTTCTCTGTTTCTCTCTGTTTCTCTGCTGTGACACGAGAATCTTAAACGCAGAAGATTGTGGTGGAAGCACAAGCTGTTTCTCTCTCCTCTGATGGGAGGCCACTGATGTTTCCTGACAGCATGGGAGCACCATCTGAATCCCTCTTTCTGTAAAAGTCTTGCTTCGAGCTCCGTCCCTCTCTGTCATTCTCCAACCCCCGACTCTTTCTTCCTCTTAAGGAACTCCGGCTGCTGCTATTATCTCCTACTTTGTCTTCACTCCAGTCTTGCTTCTCCCTTCCACTGTTTTCACATTCGCCACTGTCTCCTCCGAGCTGCTTGCTTGTTCTCATCACTCTTCAGAGTAGATCCATACTAAGATACTGCCATGCAGATTACATTACCGATCCTCTGGTCAATCAATACCTTCAGCAAATTAAAAGGGGGACTGAATCTACCCCTTGCCACTGTCGTGGCCCATCCTGGCCTTAATAAGATACATGTTCTTGCCGGCTAATGGCTCGGAACAGATGAAACAAAACACTCTGGAGGTCAATTTGTTGTTTAACAATGTTGCGAGCTTCCCTTCTGTAGTGAGCTCAAAAACTAACTATTCTTTGTGCTAATCTGCCAATCAGACACTTTGAGAAGGACGTATTTTGGGATGAATCTGGATAGATAACAGCAGAACAACTTTAAACGTTTAAGGAGGACAGAGAAGAGAGTAAAAATAATAAAAACGATTTGCTCCCAACAGGCCAATAAACCAACCATCTTCACCATGATGCTAAAAACTAACCAGCTCTGCAGATACTGGCTTCTTTTAATCCAATTCAACCATTTTAATGGATTATTTGCTTTTGATGAAGAGCTTAAATGAGGAACTGTGCTCGACTGAGGGTGGAGAGGATGAGCAAGCTGCTGCCATCTCAATTTCTAAGAACATTTTGGCTCGGTGCTTAGCCGGTTTGCAGCTCAATCTCTCCTCAGCAAGATGAAAATCTATGTGACCTTTTACTAATAATCACTGACTGTGCCCCTCACTGTGTTTTATTGCTTGCAGGGGAACAGAGGAAGGAGTCGTAGAGCAATCAGAGTTGTTCAAACTAAATAATCATTCTTTTGTGCCCGGAAATGAATTATGATGAGCTAAATTAAGTCTCAAGTCCTTAATCTCGTTATACATTTTGCTTTAAAGGAGCAGTGTTATGTATTTTCCAGGCACATTGTGCAATTTTATACCACAATCAAGTAACTGTTATGGAAATATTGTAAAGTGATTTTTGTTGAATGTTACATTGATGTATAATAATGGATTTGCTTTGATGAGTTAGAAGGAAACTACAGGTGGCGCCTTGCTTTATTCTGCATTTTAAAAAAGCTGAATATATGAAATATGACTCCATATAGATTTCACTTCACAATTTAATGCCTTAAAATTGTGCCTTTGTATCTTTAAAACACTCGCTCTCTCAGAAACTACGCCTTCAGGAAGTCATCACAACATGGCTCCTCTATTAGCCCTTTCACAACATTTTCAGCCAGATGTGTTTGCTAATTGCTGCTGGCTAGTCTGAAGGAGATGAGGGGGGTGAGGAGAGCTCTGAAGTTGTAGATTGGAGGAGCTTCATCTCAAAGGCGGAGCTAGCCCCACCCAGGTGTTTTGCACAGCTGAATGGTTGCCAGGGGACATTAAAGGATTTCTTACACATGAATGAAAGAATACATGCAACACTCCTTGTTTGTTTTTGATGAGGAGAAAAACATAACATGATATAAAGCTCAAAAAAGTCAATTTTACATAATAAAGCCCCTTTAAACAGGCCACAACTCTGAACTCTGCATGTTAGCTAAAAGGCTTTTCCACATGTTTGCTTTAACCTATACACAGTTTTGCAGCAAACTGCATTCGTTCTTCTACTGTCGTTCCTGTGCAGCACTTTGGTGCAGTTCCATACCTGTTTTTAAAGTGCTATATAAATAAATTTGATATTTACATTTGTCCGAGGCAACTTTAAAGGGTTATGAAAAAAAGTCAATTTCTGTGGAAGCTGAGAATAAAGAAATTCAGAGTGGTTTATTGGTTTTTTGTGAGTAAGCTTTCAATTACCATTTGCAAAAGCACCAAAACTTATTCCACATAAAATGTCAAAGAGCTTTTCTCTGCTATTTCATGTTTCTCAACATACCACTGTTTTCTTGTTGCTTTGACAGGTCAGGTGTGCGACTCGGTGGGGAAATTTAAAAAAAATATGAAAGAAGTGGGAAAGATCTTCAAACCTGGCCAAAAAGCACCTTCAGTGCCCGACAAGCTCGGGCGAAGCCTCGTGTTCAGAGTCATGAAAGACTGAGTGCATCCCACACACCGAGTGTGTGATGTACAACTCATGCTGATCTGGGCTCATTCTCAGGCTGGCTGTAATCCTTTCTTACCACTGCCAAGTCTGCTCTGTTTCACTTTGCTGCCCCTTTTCCACTCTTTCTCTACCATCTCAAAGTGAAATCTTAAGTGCATCTCTGTTTGTTAGCAGGTACCACTAGGCAAGCATTGCAGACACAAAGCAAATATACTCCTCTTTGTCTTAAAATGTAGATTTCAACTGGTGTGTATCTTAAGCAAAAGTAAATTATCGCTGTGTGAAGACAAAAATCACTTAAAGAAGTTAAAGACTGTCAGCTGGAAATGTAAATACATTTCTGCGTGTCCATAAAAATGACATTTAGCAGCTATCAACAGAATGTCAGCAAACTGACTGTATTTCTGGAATGATAATGGATCTTATTGGAATCTCAAACATTAACTGTACAAACTATTTGCTTCGAAAGTTTATCATGAATTAAAATGTTTTTTTACAAGTAGAAAAATCTAACAGTCAGATATATAAAATATATTTTTTTCTACATTACGATAGATTTGTTTGGTCCAGATTCTAGGTTTACTCCTTATGTCAATTGATTTTTAAATACATAAATTTAAATATAGAAAGAAATTGTATTTTAAAACCTAAAATACTTTATTCATCACAGAGGGAGATAAAATTTCATCAATTATTTTATACACGTTTCTTCAACGAGTTTATGTTGAAGAAAGGCTCTCCTGTAGCAGTCGGTTTCGCAGCAACTGAAGAAGCTTCTGACTGAAAACCCGTTCCCCTCCCGATTATTTTAAACGTACAACCTGAAAGTGCAGTCGAAAATCAAATAATTTGAATATTGTGTATGGAGAAAATGAATCTATGAATGAATATATCTATGTAGAGAAATTACGAGAATGTTGCAAGTTGTGAATAAGTGAAATAAAAGCAAACACCTGGGAAGTGAACAGCAGGAGAGAGCATGTCGAAACGTCTATCCTCTCCACAAAAGGAGAGGAATTACACTCATCTCGAAAGAAGCAAAAAATAAAAAATAAATAATAATAAAAAAAAAACCTTTGTGTTTTGGTTCACGCTCTCCGTCAGAAGACAGAAACACCAAATAACAGCAGCGCAGCACATCAACCCATCATGTAAGATGCCAGCCAGGCACGTTTGAAGGTTTGTTGGCTGCGTTTGTTAGTCAAGGCTCATCAGCGCATGGAGGTACACGGCACGTAGGAGCGAGGGATGACGCTTTGAAGATCTGACAAGAGTCAAAGGAAGGCAAAGAGGGGAGGGGAAAAACAAATGCAGGAAGAGAGAAAAGCAGAAGTGAAGGGGGGTAAAAGAGCTGAAGAGGGACGACGGGAACATTTCAATAGAAGAGAGGGGAATGGAAAAGACGTCATTTCAAACAAGCAAAGCTTGTAACATTTAAGATTTCAGTAAACTGCCAGGTGTTATTTGATTTTGCGTTTGTACCCAGCCATTTAACCCTCTGACTAATTTACTCTACTTAAAAACTTCACTGAAGAGTGACTGCTATTCTTAAACCTCTTTTAAATTACTTCATAAGGTCTTCATTTTATTTCATTTAAATTACTTATGATGTTTTATTTCTACGGACCTTCATATGACCTCACATGAACCAGAGATGAATGATTAAATGAAAAATTTAAATCACAGTTTGTATACAGGCTCTTACCACAACAGCCATTTGATTGAAAGCCAAAAACACACACACAAAAAAAACTTAATTCTCTATAATTTGTTTTTTTTTTTTGTTCAAACAGAATTACAGAAATTACAGCCTGTTTATATTGACCACACGTGCCTGCTGTCTGTCTGTGCTTTGAAGCAGGGTGTTTGGACTGTTAAAGGAATCAAGTGTGACAGTAAAATAAAACATTAATTTGCCTAAATGTGGCAAAATATAAACATCAACAGCAGGGGGCCTACGGAGAGAACAGTGGGATGCGCAAACAAGCACACACACGCACGCAAACACACGTCACGCTACGCGTCACGCACCGCAAAGAGTCGAATCAGGAGTGTTAACCAGAAAATGACTTGATGAATAGAATTTCAAAGCGTATTTTCACACAAAGAGGGAGCAGAATGGGTGAAGGGTAGACAGGTGTAAAATGAGACGGTACGGAGGGTCCCATGAGAGATTTTCTACAACCTGCGCAGGTGAAACAGAAAGTAACCCAGCTTTGTACTGTCTACAGAAGGCGTCACTCAGCTTTAAAAGCATGGAACATGAAGGACCGTGGAAGTTTTAAAGTGGGAGATAAAGAGAGGAGAGAGAGGGTAGGCGGGGCCCCATCACTCACCGATGTACTCGAAGACGAAGACGACGAAGAACGGCGTGACCAGGTCGTTGATGCCCTGCACGTAGCCGCTGGCCGGATGCCGGATGGCCCAGATGAACAAAATCCGCTCAAATATCTTCAACAGACGGACACGAGCAGTCAGTCAAAAACAATGGCTTATGGAAGGGAAGCAACTGCATCAGACATTCTTTCCAGTGAAGAAAAAGCTGCTTTTTGAAGCAATTAGTACGCAGTGTTTCACCTACGATCGTGAGGAAACGCAGGGCCAGAAATCTGGAGGTCGTGGCGCTCTGAAATGCCCAAACGACCGGAGAAGCCTCTCATTGATGTGGAACCGGTAATTATAGAGCAAGAGGAGCAGAAAATAAATGTTGGATACGAAATTCACATTTCAGAGCTCCTGCTGTGCCAGACGGGCGCCGCATTTGCTTAGTTTTTGTTTCGTTTCGATTTTAGATGAAACACTGCGATGTTGATTGATGGCAAAGGAGTTGGGTGTGAAAAAGGCAAGAAAATTTCAAACAATAAGCCGGTTAAGTGTTAGAAAATTTTTAAAAAATAACTTAAGACACGGCTAATGATTTAGAGGTTTGTTAAACTGTGTTAGTTTTGACATGGTTACTGATATTAATTATTCCTTTGTAAACCTTAAGATTATTTTCCTTCCAACCTAAAAATCCCAGTCTGCTCATTCTCCAATGTAATGTAGCGTAGTTACGGGAAATGGATGAATGATTTAGCAGAGCAAAATAGAAATGTGAGCTACTTTTACGTTCAAAAATTAAAGTTGACAGTCATTTCTTTTGAAAAATGGGAATGGGAAACCTGATAGCCTGTAATTCTCTTTTAGTTGGGTCTTATTTGTTTGGATAAATCTACCCTCCCTCCCCCCCAACATATGAGACATAAGTGTTTCAATTTTCTACAAATATATTATTTTGAGGGTGATTTCATACTTTTTCCACAAAGTAAAAAGAGGAATCTGATGTATCTGGATTTGGTGGTTTGGTTTCTGAAAAGCATTTGATTGGAAATCTTTGATCGGTGCCTCTCCAGTTCAGAAAGGACTGAGTTCAATTAATAAAAACAGGATCCTCCAAGCGCTAAATACTCATTCAAAATGAACTGATTTGGCTTCAACACCGTTAAGCACCATCTGATTACTGTTTCTCAGCTGAACATTTGGTTCACAAACAAAAAAAAAAGAAAGGCCCATTTTGATCCTCATTTAATGCCAGTGTATTCAATCTATTGCTCTTCTCTGTGACTCAGCCTGTCCTTCTCCCTCTCTTTCCTCTCCTTTTCAATACTTTTAGTTGTTTTTTTTCTCTTTTTTTGCAGGGTGAACACTTCCATCTTTGTTATGAGGAACTGTTTAATGCTGTCAGCCAGAGTGAATTGAAGAGGGCTTGATGCTCAGCTTGTTTTTCTGGTGTCCAAATGTCTTTACCTCTCCTTCATCAAAAAGAGCTCTCACATCTTGGCATAGCCCCCAACATATCAAGTTTTTTTCTCCCCCGCCTCCCCCTTGTTTTTTGGGAATATGCTATGTGTATAACAAGCGTATTACTCATTTTATTTCTGACTTGACGTAAACGCGGTGATGTCAGACAGTAGCAGATCTCTCGGAGGCTCTCCTCCACCTGCCCGCTCTTTTTTTATCAAAGCCGCATCAATCAAACGGGAAGAGGTGCCGGCGATAGAAGGCCGAGTGGGTAATGGGACTTTCTTTTCATGCAGCTTCCAAAGCCGACGTGCATATTTCACGCTGGCAGCTACACAGAGAGCAATGCTGGGTGAACCAACACCCTTTTATTTATTTGGTTTTTCTTGCTGCGGGTGAAGAGAGACATCTTCTGTTCGTGTGCTTAAAAATCAAAATCAAAGAGAGACATCAAAGTTTGAGAGCACGTTCTGCTAATCTCACGTTAACCTCCGATTCTTCCAACGAAGCGTCTACAGGACAGGAAATCGGCTTTCCCCGCGCCTCCTGTGTCAAACGCTTATGGCTTCATCCCATTAGCTCGAGACCCCAAGGACCAAGATAAGGCTAATCTCAAAAAAGTGGAGAGGAAATTGTCCCTTTCACACACACAAAAAGAAGGAGTCAAGGATGAAAGGACAAATAGGGTTTCCCCTGCTAAGCCCGGCAGTAGGGGTGCTACAGCAATCCACAAGCAGCCCACAGTGTTTTTATGTAAAAAAAAAAACAAAAAAAAACCAGTGAAAAGGTGCAAAATTTCAAAGACGCACGAGTAGGCATCACAATTTGGCAATATGTCAACTATAAACCTAGCTTAATCCGTCTTTAGTGTCTCTGTTAAACCATATTTAAAATAAATTATGCTTAGCCTGGTGGAGTGGCAATTAAAGCCTGGAGGCCCGCCAGTCTTACACAGGAGGAAACCCTGGATAAATGTTCTACATCATAGTCTTTTTTTATGCTTTTTGAATTAAATTAAATTATTGGAATAAACATTAACCTAATTTCTATGAATATGTGTAAGCTACACCTTTTTTTTTAAGAGAAGAATACCCAAAAAGTTACATTAACAGTAAGCAGCTTGCAGTGCAGAAAAGACATCAGCAACTCATCCTCATCTGATCCCGTTTCCCTTCTTGCCTCTGATTACAGCACAGAGTTTTAACCTGTACAAAACAGCGACAGTGGGAGGTGGTGCTGCCTGAGGCGCTGCATCGACTAAAGAGCCTGAGCTCAATGCTCGAATTTCTACTCCGCTTTACACACAAAAAATGTTCTGGCAGCGTGTTTGAGTGTGTGCTTCCCAGGCTCGCTCACACCTGCATAGAGATGGACGTCACAGAGCGGCCTCAAGTGCTGGCCTCCTCATTAGCCTCCACCTCATTATTGGAAACTTTTCTTTGTGTTTACCGTTCTCGGACTCATGTCTGTGACAGGCCCCGGCAGAAACGGTGAGGTAATAAGCTCCGGAAAGGAATAAAATCCAGCTTGTTTCCGTAGGAAGGCGGATTTCGATACTTTATCATCAGTGCTAAAAATGCTCGTTTTCAGTATTTTGAAAGGTTATACCAGTAACTGACCCACAAATATGCACATATTTGGGAGAACCTCTGGCGAAGACGTATAAATAAAGACAAAACTATATATTCATCTTTTGTTGCAGCAAAGTAATCTCACAGTGATTTTTATTTAAATCCAAATCTTAATTGAGCACATTTCATCCAGAGAGGAAGCTTTAAAAGACAATAATGAAATTACGAGTAGCATAATTAACGGCGCCCCTAAAATCATTTTAAAGGGCCTAAATAATCTTGTAGAGTGAATGAAGCTGTAAATATATGAAGTATGACTTTACGTTGTCTTTCTATAAAAACAGGAAGTGAGTTCTGCACATTGATAACACGTTTAACGGGGAGTAAATGTGTTGTTCTACATGTTGATTATTACGGCTGCATGAAAAATGTACCTAGAGAGCGAGTATCAGCATGCGAGCAAAGTAGAAACGGTTGTTTATGGTTTCTCTTTCTCATCATCTCACATTTAATTATAGGTTATGCAATCTAAACATCTGTAATGTGAAAGCAAAGGTTGTGTCAAATTTTGCTCAGCCAGAGATTGTGTTCACCAGTTGTTGGCTGCCTGCCCTGTTTATTTGGCTTGCTACATGTTTAGATTTTTTTTTTTTTTTTTTTCGCTGTTATTGGGTTTGTGTTTGAAACATATTTCTCATCGTCGGCCAAGGAAATAAATGCGACTATCATGAGATGCAAGGCCGACCAGAATCGGAAAAAAAAAAAAAAACAAAAAAAACGACTCAGAACCCCTTTCCCCAGCCAACTCAGTGTCTGAATCTAAATAGTACAAGGTGGCAGGGTTTGCAGTAATTGCTGTATTTCCCCACTCTGAATGCAACACACTTCAATGGTTGAACGAATCAACATTTTCATGATTTTCAAGATTTTGTTCCAGCAATATATGATCTCGTTTCAGAGCTTTTTACATGTCGTTTTGATAGAAGTGCCTGGCTCTGGAAGTACCCACAAGCCAGACGGTTTAAACTGCTGCTCACTTTACAGTCTCACTTCAATGCCATAAAACAACCTAGATATAAAAGTACATTTTCTTTTCATAAGCACAAACAAAGCGCAACAAAAAGATACGAGTGGCAGCCATGCAGAGTGAAAAAAGTTCAGGGTTGTCTGATTCCATGCATGCCTGAAGAAATTATGTTTATGCTTTTAATTTGTGCTTTTTTCCACATCATGCAGTGCTCTACAGTGAGGGTTTTCCTGTCATTACCTCAGTTTTTTAGAGCTGCACACAGAAATGTTCTTATTGTGTTTATAAAAGGGCAGCATTATGTATTTTCCAGACACACTTGATGGTGTTATAAAATGGTTACCTTCAGTTGTTAGAAACTCTTTATGTACCAAATTTGACTTTGTAATTTAAAGCCTTGATATTGGGCCTCTGTCTCTTTAAGAAACTCCTGTTCTTTTTTAAACTCAACCATCAGAAAGAGAACATTATTAACCCTTTAGGAACATTTTTACCACTGCTGCAATGAAAGGCAGAAAACCAGGTGTTGAACTGATTCATGAAAGAATCAAGGCAACACTCCAGGTGTTTTTAAATGAGGAAATAACATTACAATAAGATGTAAAGCTCAAAATGATAGATTTTACATAATACTCCCCCTCTAAACTAATATATAAGAAAATGAAACAAGCCAATTCTGTTGATTTTTAATAAACATGGACTGGGCCACTGATAGGCTGAGTGAGTCAGTCTGAAGGCAAAAAGGAAAACCCTCCTAATGTGAAGTGGTGTGTGTGTGCTCCTGCAGGTGGGGTCTCACCTCTTGGACAGAAGCTTGTTGGAAAAGAGGAATAAGAGGATTAGTTCTCGGTATGTCAATGTGAATCTGCGGGGAGAGAAAGAAAGAGAAAGACAAACAGGAAGCAACAGGCAGGTTAGCACGGATCTGGCTATTATAGAACGGAGCGACAGCAAAAGTTAGTGGATTGGTGTTCTTGATTGGAGTCAGACTGGGGTTTCTGGTGCTCTGAAATGGAAAGCAGCCTTGGTCTTGGGAACTTGCAGATGGGCGCCGTTAGCATAATGGGACGGCCCCCTTTGATGTTTCTGTGAGGAGCTTTGTGAGACCAAGTTTCTCTGCCATTTCAGACCTTCTACCCCCTCAGACCAACAATACAGCAGGCGGACAGATTCGTCAGAAGGGAGCCAGACGGATGCAGGGCGGCAGCTTGAGACGGGCCGGCTGAAACGGTCTGGAGGAGTGTGCGCACTAGTCACTCAGCGGACTAGCGCGCGCAGCTGGAGCCACAGTCCTGGATGCCTTACCTCTGTCACCTTTGGCTGCAGCACCAAATTTTCAGGATTCATCCTAGGAATGTCTATATGGATCTGACAGCAACATGGAAAGGACATGTGTTAGAGACTCAAACCAACACAAACACACCCAGTGTTCATAAGGGAGTCATATCATCGACTTTTTTATATATTTTGTCACCTTAATGCCACAATCAATTTATGCTAGTATTTGAACAATGAAATCTTTGTGCATTCCCAAAGATTCTCAATTAACTGAAGATGCTTGCCACAACAAATTCTGGATATTATAAACCATTATAAGTGAGTATTGCAACTCAAACTGTACACTAGAAGTGACTATTGTATTCAGGAGTACAACAACTAGATGCTCGACCTCGTAACTGAAAAGGAAGCTGTAACAGCTAATGCTGGCTGACATGAGATAAATGTATCAAACGAGCTCTTAGAAATTTCAATGTGGGTCAAAAGTCATTCCAGCACAAAGTCTTACTCTTGGTGTAGCGAATTCTAAGCGAAGTCTTTAAATTTCGAATCTCTACCAAGCAGCTCCACCTTCATAACAAGCCATCTGTTGTCATGCACATATCAAAAGGCCGTCCTTGTGTTCGTGGCTTTCCAACAAAAAAAAGGAAAAACATGATGCAACAAGTGACACTGTAACATAACAAGCCCCACGTAGCAATGACCCTCAAGGAAGAATGACTGCTGTGAAGTAAAAACCAACATTCTCGAAATATTCCAAAAACAGAATATTGTGACTTTTAGAAAAAAATTCAGGGCAATCAAATGTACGTTAATGAACACATTTCATTTGGGATGAAGAAAATCACAGACAGCACTTTAAAGACAACAAGAAAGACAAAGAAAGAATGGAAGAAACTAAGAGGCAGAAAGAAATGGTGAAAAAACTAAGAGTGAAAGAGAGACTGAAAAAAAAGAGAGAAAACAGAGAAAGAAAGTCAAAGAAAGACAGATATTCAGAGGTTGATGAACTAACCATGAAAAAGATCTAGAAACATCCAGGCATTTTCAGGAAATCCATCGTTCAAATGATCAAAATCAAGGTCCTCATGCACACAGAGGAAATATATATATATATATATATATATATATATATACATATATATATATATATATATATATATGTGTAAACACAATAAAGCACACAGCAAAAGCGAAATCCGAAATTACTCCACAATCCAGACCTGTTATAATGTGGCTACAGGATGCGATTCAAACAATCATCACAACAAAGTGTGCCAGCTTCGTGGCAGCTGTGACGAGGAGATCAATGGGAAATTGGGCCAAATATGAAAAATGTGTGGAGCTACGAGACTGACAGCCCACTTTGAAGTTTCTTATCGGCTTCAAATGAACAGGAAGTAGTCCAATGTTAAAAAGAAGGAGTGTGCAAAGGGTGAAAGACTGACAGATAAACAGAGAGGGAGTGGAGGGGGGGAATAGATTTTCAAAGCCGCAGAAAAGTGTTCATTTAAGCAGCTCTTTGAAACCGGCTGTCCCTGCTCTGAAAAGCTCGACCACGCTCCCGTCATGTTGACACAAACAGTCCAGAGAGGACACGGCGAATGAAAACAAAGAACACAATACAACGGGAACATCTGGATGTTTTCTTCAATTGTGACTGTGGATGCAAGTCTGTGAAAACATGTGTAGCTGTGCTAGGATTGGGCTTCCAGAACCAGGAAAAAAATCACACTGGTGACCAATAAACCCAGAATTTGTTTCATATTTATTTAGGGTTTCCTCCAGAGAATATGCTGAACTGGGCGCTAAAGGCGCTACGGCAGTCCACCAGTGTGCTTTTGTGATAAAAGACATTAAAAGGTGCAACTGAAAACAATGGCGTGAGAGGCCAATGTGCAGGTGCAGGAACGGCACTAAATGAATCAGTCTTTACTGTCACTGGTGTAAAAATAAAAAACCCTATTACAAAAAACAGACAAAGCTTAGCCTGGCGGGGGAGCAAATAAAGTCTGGTGGGCCACCAGGCTTATAACCCACAGGGGATAAACCCTGTTTGAAACTTTACAGATGCCAACAGGGTTATCTTCATCTTCTTCAGTAGAATCAACACACAAAGCTGAGATACCAGCCAGTAGAACAAACCTGACATAACATGAAGGAATGTGATCTGAGCTAACATGATCAAATCTAGGCTTCCTGGTTTAGATAAACACCCTACAGCTTTTTCATCCACATCCTGATCAATAGAAAAAGGTTAGGCAGCAAAAAGGTGAGTCATTCACCTTAAGTGGCCTGTCAGCATATACCTGTCTGTATGTGTCTTGATGGTGCTCATCATTGCGCGAGTCGTAGTATTGCTGGATGAAGCCGAAATATTCTTGTCTCTTCCTCTGTAGAACGCTTTCCCTCCTCTCTGCGTTGGCAGGCAGATAACCCTGAAAGCAAAAGTCAAAGAGAGGATTAAAAAAAGAAAAGAAAAAAAAAACTTGATTTGAATTTTTAAATTGAACCATATTTGACATGTCCTGAATTTTAATGCATTTATGATTTTTATTTTTTATTTTTCCTCTTATTGAGTAGCACCCCTCATTGTAAGTTTTGGATCCTAATTGAAGCAGCAGGAGGCTTGTTATAAAGTGAAGTTGTGGCTGGAAAAAGCAAAATGCTTGGGTAGTTTTCACTGCCAGTTGCCTGGCAACTCATCTTTGGAGAGAAACAGACGGGTTTCCAGTTTATATGCTAAGCTAATCAACTGTGAGCTCTGGTTTTTTTCTTCTTTTTTTCCCCCCACCAGCAGGTAATGATGCTGTCAATTCAGACTGTGTACATAAATCCCTTAAATGAAGTCGAAAACAAGAAGTATGTGTTGTAAGCACAATTTTTAAATTACTTGTTTTGTGATGAACACCATCACTGAGCAGATCGTCCTCAATGTGGTGGAGCACTCAAACATCTTCCCATTGCTGTTTTTGTGTTGCATTATGGGAAACCATTGTATTTATCTCTAACAGGTTTTCCAAATTTCATAACCTTTTCATTCTACTCTACAGTGAAGCACTGCCGCACTGCAAAAAACAATATACTTTTGGTCTAGTTTCTAATGCAAATATCCTACAACGCTTGAAGTAAAACTAACTTACAAGTAACTTTTCAGCAGAAAACAGCTTGTTTTAAATAAATAATTTCTAACATTGATGAAAAAGTACTAATTGCAAGTGAAATCTGCCAGTAGAACAAGACATTTGTCCAGATTTTTTTTTAGTTATAAGGAAAAATGAGAAAATGTTCCTTGAATATCATTTGTTTTTAGCTCATTGTAAATGTGTGTTACTAATATTTATATTGTCTTATCAGGCCAACTGTTAGGATTGCGATCAAAAAATGCTGGAGGAACGCTGCACTATGCTTACTTCAGCACCGAAAATGTTCTTTCAGACTGACTTTCTTGTGAATTTTCAGTGGTTTCCGCCATCTTTTATTAAGTAGTAACGTTTTATAGGTTGTAGCTTAAGTTTGCTAGAAAAGTTCTGCAAATCAAATTTCCAACACCCGGGATTGGAAGGAAAAATTTTCGGCTGTGTTGCAGAACGTCTGCTGCTCCTTCGGCCTACCTGGCTGTGTGTGCTTATGAGGGGAACGGGTATTTCTGACAGAATTTGCGAGGGTGCGTGTGTGAGTGAGCGTTCGTCTCAGCACAGTGCGGCTTACGCAACGAGGAGAAAGTCCAGTCCAACCAAGTCCAGACATTAACTTAGAGCCGTGGGGGTAATAAAAGAATCACAGCATCAGAATTCTCGAAAGTGCGGCAAAACATGCATTTAGGCCTTGGAAAACGTGTGGCGGCGATGGCAAAAAACAGGCCGCTCTGGCTGGGGAGCTCACAGAGGATGGGCTTGGAAAGTTTGAAAGATTTCGTCAACATTTATTTAGAACTTAATTCTAAGAACTATTTTTATATTAGCTCGGTTTAGGTCAAGTTCTGAAGATGTTTTCCAAGTCAATAAATAATTAAATTCCTTCAAATTCTTATGATTACATAAGTTTGTTGTTCTTTGCACTAAAATCTCCAGGGTTGTCCATCCTTTTGAGTCAATTTATAGTACAATGGTCTTCCATGACATTTCACACAGTTATAGCTGGAATAAATGATGAATATATACAGTGATGTATGTAGTATTGCATGCTTTTCTAGCACTAATTATATCTTTTTGTTTTGATTTATTTAAAGCACACTCTTTTCTATGGATGGAATACATTCAAATATGGAGTTTTGTTTTGTTTTTTTGCTTCTTTTTTTGCATCTTGGTGTAATTAACTGTTTTTCTGGAAGCAAGCTTCCATTTCTTTGGCCACGAGAGACAAACACACCATCGACTTCTGGCAAGCGTCGAGAGAGGAGTATATAACAGTAGTAAAGTTTCTTCTTTGCCATTTTATTTGCCGTTTCCCCCAGACTCAGGCCCTTGAGCTGTTCGAGGAGCGTAGAGGATTGTTTGTCTCACCCGAGCGTTTTGCTTGCAGACGCGCCAACAGACTGATATATGCTCCGGCCAACACTTTGGGAACGGTTAAAAGCAAACTTAGCTGTAGGAGGGGAAAACATTTTTTTTTTTCCCCTCCCTCCCTTACTAGTGTGTTTTTCAGGACAAATAAACCCACATGTAAATATGTCATTCAGTTGTTTGACTGTTTGCTTCCGTACATAAAAAAAAAAAAATAGGAAAAGAATTCACTGTGAAGGAGGTCAGCTCTGAACTCATTTACAGCCCATCTCAGCGCTGCCATGCGTCCAGACGGCCATGTTTGTGCCAGCACAAATCAGGTTGAACATTGGCTATGTTAGTCGCCTCCTCCTCCCCCCCCATCAACACCGCTGACTTTTCTACCCGACTGTCTCGCTGCCAAAACGTCCAAGCGTCACATGTTGAAACGACTCCATATGCAAACACGCGCAAGGCCTGCGTACACACACAAACACAGGACGCTACAGGCCAGCGACAAAGCACTGGGCTCCAGTGTACAGGGGGGCCGGCTGCCAAATGAGGCAGAGAGAGAGAGAGAGAGTGCGTGCGTGCGTGACGGTCGAAGGTTAATGGACAGCTTAAAGGAGGTCAGTAGCATTCGAGCTTCATTACTACTCAATGAGACAGTACAAAGATACGCACACAGATTTAAAAAAGACCTTTATGGATTTGTTTGGTTACCAAGGATCACCATTTCAATGAGATTCACGGGTAATGATCTTTATTAATGATGATCATTTTCAAAGTGTTATCACTGAACACTCATCATCAATATCATCATCATTGTAATCGGTCTTCAGGATTATCGTCCTCATCATCGTCGTTTTATTGTTACCATTACTCTTATCAACACCATCTTTGTCATTCACAATATTGCAAATATCATTATCACTGAATGTAACCATCATCATGATTTTTTTAAGAGGAAGAAATATTTTTGCTAATTTAATTGGTCATTGTTACAATCATTAACATGATTCTCTCAAATTATGTTTCTTTTATTTATTTTCTTATTATTTTCAACTTTTTTCTGGTTTATTATTATTTATATTGACTAATTGGGATTATTTTTGGATTACCCTTTTTTATTGTGATTTTTACAATTTGATTTCGTTCTAATTTTTATTATTACTACGACGACAACGTTTTGATTTTTTCACCTCATTTTTACTATTTATTGTTATTTTGTATTATTCTTTACTATTATCATTCTTTGCTATTTTACAATTATGTAAATTAGTTTTTAATCAATAGCACTACTGTCACTGCAATAGTAATAATTTTTCAAATGATTACTACTGCCACTATCTTTATAATTACCTTCTGTTTTTATTATGTTTTAATTACTAAAGATAAGAACCAGACCCTCTGGGTCCCTGAAAGGACATTAGACAATAGATGGGCGGATTCTCATTTTTCTACTCTCTCTCATTATTTTTCTGTCATCATCATCGTCATCATGCACAGTCGTATTTTAATTATTAGTATAAATGATGATTACCATTTATCGTCATTAGCATTGTTGTCATATTAAACCCAATGCTGGCCTCAAAACGTATTAATTAAAGATTATTTCTGGTTCAGAACTGGCTTTTGTTTCCTTTTATTGAAAGGAGCTCGTTATTTTTTTTATTTAGATGTTGATTATTGAATATCACTTAAGTATGACCTGATAAGATTGGTGTAAAACATACTAGCAGTTCTTGAATTTCCTCCTTTGAACCGTTAATCGATACACCTGATCTCTTCTTTCTTCCCTGAAATAATGCCTGTTTTCCTCCTAAAGGAAGATCCATCTCTATAAACTAACAGAAAAAAAAAACAAATAAATAAAAAGAGCATAGAAAATATCCCAGGGAGAAAATGTTTGGGGGGGATTTAAATGAAACAGTTCTTTTTACTTTGTCTCCTCTCTAAATTGATTTCTACTTTGCAGAAAAACATTATCCTGGAAGCAGATTGGAATCTGTCCCAGAGAGAGCACAAGAGAAGATGGATTAAAATTAAACTTCTCATCCCTCGAGTGTCTGCCCATCTGTATTTTTAAAGAAACATCTCGCAGGTTCTGAAGCCTGGGTTGGGTTATCATGAAGCATTCATATTCAATCCAGCTGTGTGTTCCTCTGTTTCCTCTGTGTGTTCAAATACAAGCGTTCTGATTTGATTTTTGGGTAAGTTGAAGAATTAACTATTCACAAAAGATAAAAAAAAAAAAAAAAAAAACACTGCGTCTCATTATTTTCACGCTAGCTGCTTTTTAAAACCATTTTACTAGATATTATAAGCAGATTTTGCATAAAGACTTAGAGGAAAAACGTCGAAAATGACCCGTTGTTATTGCACCCATAATCAAAACCCTTTTTTTTTTTCTTTCTGGTTTTGTAAGAGCCACAGTAGGAAGGGCAAAGAGCTACAGGTTGCATGTTCGCCCCCTGGCTTAGATGACATATTTCTGCCATACATTAGTCCAGTCAAAGTTCAGGACTAAATCCAATTCTTGAAAGATGCAAATCAGATACTCTCCATCTAGATGGGGAGGTAGTGACATACCCCCCAAAAGTAGCAGCTTCAATAGTACTTGAAGCGAAAGCTAACAGTTTTGCCTCGAGATGGAGGAATACAAATCCATGCCACACTTTTCAGATTTGTTTTTGTCTTTTCCTTTTTTTAGGGGCATGTCATAGCAATCCATAGGAGAGCAGGCCAATGCGTTGCTGTGTGTAAGTCAACATGCTGGTGATAACCCACATGCTACTGACAGCATAGTCAACATGCTAGTGATAGTCTTCATACTAACATTAGCCATAAGCTAAAATAAGCATTTTAGCTCTTCGTTGATGCACTAGCTACGTCAGCATACTAAATGGAGAAAGTCCACCTCTTAATAGTTCATTTATCTTTATATATTTACTTACCATTTACTTTTTTAAACTTATACTTTTTATTCATCTAAAGCCACTCAAATATTTTTGGTAGAAGTGAGTAAAAAGGGGAGGGAAAAAAAATAAAACATGCTAGAACAGAGAATAAATTAGTAGATTTTTTTAAAGATACAACTTTGTCTAAGAACTAAAGGTCAAAGGGTGTGGGAAAGCGGAAGATTAAAGAACACAAAGAGTGGACATCAGTAAGTCAGGTGAAAAATACATTGCTTTCATCTCCCAGGCAATGTAATTACAGCATGTGAGCTGTCGCACGGTAACTATTTTGCATAATCTCGGAATCAGCTGCTGCCGCTCTCTGGTGTGTTTCATAAAGCCCTTTAGCCTCATCAATATTTCCACAGCCAGTTAGGTTTTTTTTCCCCCCCACTCTCCCACAATTTCACATTTAACAGCCACACTCCATTAGCAAGTGTACATTTTGCTACAGGGCAAGGTTTTCTTTTCTTTTTCCTTTTTTCTTCTTTTTTTTTTATTTGGCAAAGCATTTAATTTTTTTTCCCTTCCGCCTTCAGGCTTGGACACCGAGTGCTCCTTAAACAAATGAAATAAAACAGTATTATTTGTGAAATAATAGGAAGTTTAAGTACGTTTGTTTGTGAGGCTGCAGGCAGACTTATGGAGTCTGGTGAAGGTGATGAAAAAGAAAAGATAAATCTACCAGAGATTATTACTGTTCTCTTAGGTTCTTCTTTACAGAGAATACTGTTCCAGGATGTCGTTTTTTTTTTTTTTTTTGTGTGTCCACACTTGCTTAAAACGGTAAAAGAAAGCAGTAAATCACGACATGCGGAAGCAACAAACCGTCGAGTGAAAAACACAAGCAGTTTCTGTTGGATGAGAAACAAATAAATGTGAAATGAGGTGATCAAGTGAGGGAGAAAAGTTTCTTGAAGTGTGGATAAGATCGTGAGATAGGGCGTTACAGCGTTTCAGCACCGTCCCCTCCAACTTTAGACCTAGCAGCAGATTCCACCCTTTTTTAGCCAAAAGAGGCGCAAAGTTATTAAAAATTAAAAGATAATTTGAATTTCAGATACAGACTTCATAAACACATTTTGTTTTATGACAATGAGCCAAACAAACCTACAATCCAGCCTGAGGTAGGATACAACAGCAATACTATTAATAATCTTTATTACACACAGATGTCTTGAGTTCTCATTTGACTTTGAATGGTGGTTATTAAAAAAGATCACAAAAAAAAGTCAAACTAACAACATTACATCGGAATAGCAACAGTTGAGAAACACTATTGCACATGCGACAAATTATTTTACATAAATGCTCTTGGGAGCTTAAATCCACGAGAGTATTGTAACTGGAACCCAATCTCAAGGAGTCTCCCAAGACCTACAGACGACTGTAATTCCAACAAGAACTGCTTTACAAATACGTGAAGGATGAAACAAACAAAACCTGTTAAAGGATGTTCAGAAGGAACAAAACGGCCTTCGCTCAAGATTCATCAGTCCACTGACATCTCAGCTCTAAATATATAGAAAGTGGACTGTATCACAGGGCATCCATCCACCCTTGTCCCTTATGAGGTCAAGAGGGGCGCTGTGTCTGTCTGTGTCTGTCTCCAGCTAACGTTCCAGGCGAGAAGCGGGGCACCTTGTGATCTATTGCCAAAGACAAATCTTGCAAACGCTACAATCTGATGCCACTCCATTTTTGTTTACATTTCGTGAAGAGGAAACTTATGCCTCATGTTGTCTTCAGAGGTTTATTTGTCAGTGGTTCTTGGTGTAGTGCCACCACTGGCGAGAGGAGGAACCGATTTTTCAAAGGGTTTAGTTTGTTTGACAAAGTGCTGTGTGAAAGAGAACCGCACCATCTGAAAATGTAACAAATGCTGCAATTTTTGTCATCAGGTGTGGAAACACCCTACATTTTACAGAATACAGAACCAACTGATCAAAGGGTGTGTGGTTTAATAGATACATACGTAAATCCAGACATATTTTAAATAGGTGTCTGCTTGTAATTTTGAAAAGTGTTTTAATAAAGGAGCTAATTTTTAAATACCCTTATGAGTGTCCAAAACCATAAAATAAACACAAGAGTTTAGTCAATTTATTATTGAATCATAGAAGATATTCCCCAAACACATTCACACACACTAAGATGCACAAATGAATACCAACACCAACAAACCTTTAATGAGGTATTATGTATGGTACATTAGCTTTACTGCCAGAAGCACACATATAAATACATACACTATACATACACAAACAATCGGCTGATGCTTTGTGACTGAATATGGTGTTATAAGCCTCTATCTGAGACCAGCACCACACAAAGGCGGCATTAATAGCTTAAGAGTCGGTCGGTAACCTCCAACCACAGGAAAAAGCGGCACGAACAGGCACACATACATCCGCGCACCTTTAATGACATCTTTTCTGCGGCACATTAGCTATTGTGCTGTAATTAATGGGAGAGTCACGGCGTTTAAAAAGCTAGACTTTCCTCAGCAGACTAAGAGCTGTACACCACAACAATGGCTTAATGAGTAAACACACCGTGCCTCTCATGAATAAATTATTTGTGCCTCACAATTAATTTTCCCTATTGAAGTTTGGAAGGGGAAAAAAAAGTAAATAAATAAATAAAAAGACGACTCTTGGTCTTCATAAATCACAAAAGGGAAGTGGGGGGAGACGAGACAGCAACTTTGTGTGTGTGTGTGTGTGTGGGTGTGTGTGTGTGTGTGTGTGTGTGTGTGTGTGTGTGTGTGTGTGTGTGTGTGTGTGTGTGCGTGCGTGCGCGCGTGCGTGTTGGAGATCAAAAGCATGCAGTTCTTATGTGTAACGGTTTAGCTGGGTTTTTATGTGCGACTGTGCTGCTCAGTTTTTATGAATCTGTATAAATTTCACGTTTCTGGTGCGATGTGAGGTTTGTTTTAGAGTGTGTTTGTGTACAATCGTTGTTTTTGCGAGTATTTTAAGTTTTATGCTGTGTGGAAATGTGTGGCTAAAAACTCACAGAAAGAAGCTTCCAGGCTATCGGTCGAACTTGTCGCGGGATTCCAGACCAGCTGAGCTTCCGTAGCTCCTCTGCAAGACAACAAAAACATGAAGACCTCCATTATTATTCAAACTACGACACCTTTACAGAAGAGACGCTCTCTGAAATTCGATTGATCACACAGTAAATGTTGTTCGCTGTGTTTATGTTCTAGATCTTGAATCTACTGTCGGAGAGTTAATGAATAGAGGCACAAAAGACAAAAATGAACAAGAAGTAAACGTTAATTGAATTTGAGGTGATTGCATAATTGTCAGATTAAGTGGTGATAAAGTGAGAGAAATAAAAGAAGCAAACAGATGAGGAAATATGTAATCAAAGAGTCAAAAATTTTAAAAACACAAAACTATTATTTTTCTGACTTCCTGCTTTCGTTTTCATCATCACAATTTCCCAACCCCCTCTATGAGAGCTTTAATATCTTCTGCACTGAAAACATACATCAAATGTGAGCATCAACAGTTGGTAAAACCCATCCAAATGTTGAATACCTCATTGGCTTGTTTTGCAAGCAACTGAACGATAATGTCGTTGAACACTCTTTAGTGCAGCGGCTGTAATTGAGGGAAGACTAATCAGCTAGCTACTTTAAGCCTACGTACACACTGAGACGAGCACTGTACATTTTTGTGAGCAATTAAGTAAAATTATGCAACGTCTCAAAACAACTATGCAATTGGTATGCCAGGCCAATCTGTGGTGATGCAATACTGACAAAAGCATAAAAAAAAGCACAGACAGCGCCATGTTTGTAATGGATGCATGTGGGATAGAGAGAGATGGAGAAAGAGATATGGATACGTTCTATGTTTCTGGTCTGAGGCGTCAAATTTGTATGAATTTAGGTTTTTGTCAATAAACAAGCTAAAAGTAAAAATGCTAGCAGCCTTTTGAAAATCCACGTCAAGTTAGCGGTCTCCATTTTCTACAAAACACACAAAGATGCGTCATAGTGTAACATGGTTCACCGTGCCAGAGACAATAATTTGAAAAATGATTTAAAACCCTCTTCTACATCAATTGTGCCACGACTTCTCAGTTTCTCATCTAAATCATTTCTGCCTGCTTGTGCATTTAAGATTTTTGTGAAGAGAAATCTGGATAAGAAACAATTTCTGCTTAATTTGAGTAGTTCGGTCAAAGCTTTACAAATACCGGATATCAAAATTTAGCAGATGTTTGTATTTACCAGCAGACAGTCAGACTAGCCTGCCACAAAACAAATTTAAATCATTCATTACACATGTTCACACAGTGCTAAAAAAAAGAAAAACACCTTTTGTCAAAAGTAGGGCCATATTTGTCTTATTCTGCCAGCAAGTTGGCAACTTACCCTATCCTCAATTTCCAAACTTCTGTTCCCATCTGTCTTTTTGGCACTAAAAATATGATGGGTTAGAAGTGGACTATTAACTACTTTTTCCCCAGCCTGGGGCAGGGGAACCTGCAGGCTATAATGTAAAATGAATCTGATGGAGAGGTGCAAATTGAACTTTTAAATTGGTGGAGAGTAATCCCCTTTGGGCTCATGAGGACCCAGAAAATATGGCTTAATGCAAGGTTTCAGCCAGCCAGTACTATTTCTCTCCAACACACACACACACACACACACACACACAGTGACAGTATAGGATATGGGAGTATGGGGATCAGCAATGATTGAAGGGAAAAGTACTTTTCCCTCTGTGTTTTAAAGCTTTTTGTCTGTGGGACTGATTTTGGATATACATTATGGCTAATCTTGACAAATGAGGTTCACTCTCACAATAAAGTTGTAGTACAAAATAAATCTAAAAAAAGTTATTTCCTCCATCTGGATTTATTTTTATTTAATGTCAAAAAACTAATTCTCAACAGAACAACTGTGGTGCAAAGTTTAAAATGTCACAGGACTGCAACGTCCACTGCAATGTGGGGAAGTTTAAAGCTGGCGAAAGTTATAAACCATATCCCAAGCCTTGAACATTTTGAGAAACCTGCTGTGAAAGTGAGGGAAACAGAGGAAATTATGAACATCTCGTAACAATTTGGCCAAAACAATGAAGAAATATATTTTTTTAAATGTCGATATAACAAAATGCACATTTTAGTAGGATTTTTTTTCTTTTTTTTTGAATGGAGTAAGTACTGACTTAAATTTGCGCAACAGAATGACAAGTATCAGTAATATTTATTATTTGTCACTATGTTGGAAACTAAGTGTTTTTGTTGTTGTTGTTGTTTAAATCATTTCCCACAAATACCATCTTATTCAACATATTTTTACCAATCCTCTTGTGTGTAAGCGTTTTATGTTTGCCTGTCACTGTAAGCCATTACTACATTATTCGCACGATAGATTAAGAAGTCCATAGTGATGATAGATGTTTTCTGAAGGGCAATTTTGTTTAGACACTAAATAAACTTAAATATGGTTTTTATTTCCTCTTTTTTGTGTTATTTTTGGATATTTAAAATGTCTTCCCATGTTGTATTCTGCACAAAATTACAGTTTATTGGTCTTCACGGCATATTTGTTTCATTATGCAACTGAAAATGGTATCAAAATAATATTATTGTTTCTTGCGATAATTTCAGGGATGATTTATCATCCTGTAAGATTTGTTACCATGACAGGGGTTGTGTGTTTTAAAATCTAAAAAATTGAAAATAAAAAAAAAAATAAAGTAGTGGTTCTTTCAAAAAATAAAAAAAATAATAAAAAATAAGTTAATATTCTACTGAAAATCCTTAAAGATTTTGAAATGGTCATTTTACAGAATGAATGAATGCTATGCAACATCTGTGGCTCTAAACAAGCTTCTTTCTTTATTTTTTTTACCTGAGGGGCGAAAACGGCTCTTTGGTTTGTGAAGGTTGCAAAATCCCAACAAAAACACAAAGATGTTTGTGGTTGCAAGGTGAAAGGTTTAGGAGGTGTTAACACTTCTGCAAAGTGCTGTGAATTATCCCTATTATGGAAATCTACGGGATCGCGAAAGCAGAGAAAAAAAATGTGGTCAATCTGAGTAATGTTTTAATTTAGTCCAGAGTGACCTCTCCTACCACCGTCAGAGTGTTCAGGATATTGAACGTTCCGGCAGTCTATCACGAGAGCAGGAAGTTCCTCGATGACCTTGTGTTAACTCCGACTCATTTATTATTCACAAACGGGTCGTCCCCTGACCGCCGCCCCGCGAAGTACACAAACCCGTATTATTCAACAAGACAAGTCGCCACAGCAAAACTGAGGCAAACATTAAAAAAAAAAAAAATACCGAATGAAATTTATTTGTTTGTAATTGAACAGGTTTACCTGCATTCTGGGAGCAAAGGCAGAGGGGAAACTGATTTACTTGCAAATTAATCCCTCGTGCCTGAACACACCTTTCAGAGTTGTAATAAAAAAGAAGAAGAAGAAAAAAAAACTGAAATGCATGTAATGAATCAGCCAAATTCCTCCACAGCTTTTATTCAAGGCACTGCCTGGAAATTGATAAGGCCTTCCCACAGAGTGAACGGTATTGATTAGCACTGCCAAACGACTCTACCTTGCCTGTTCTTCAAGGCAAATGCAATGTAGGGCCAGTGACAGATAACATAATAGGAAGTAGCAACGGCCTAAGTCCATTGGCTAAATTGAGTGAAACGCATTAGAGCTTGCTCAGCTGATGAGAGCGGCTATTTATTCACTATAGTTCCTGCACATCTTCCACTTAAAATTTCTGCCTTACCTTGTCCCCCTGCTGGCTTTAATTATACAGAAATCCAATACAGTGATCTAGTGCGCAGCATGGCTGTGTTAGTTCAGAGGAGTCAGTGCTCCACAGTGTGGGAAGGTTTCGATTTCCTCAAGGCTACCTTTGCAGCAGCGTCATTTAAAATGAAAATACCAAAAAAAAAAAACATTTCAGGAACTGAAGAAAATACAGGAAATATACCCTCACTGCTTCAAGACAGTTTTTTTGTTCTCTTTTTGCTTTTGAAACAAAAGCAGAGAAGTTGTTTATTTGAGATGAAAAACTTTGATTATAAGAGAATTCCTAGAACTACGCAATTCTCTATGAAGTTATGCTTTGGTTGATATAATTTTTTTTTAAATAAAATTTCTTCTGAACTCAGTTTAAGGTTTTTGGTCTTCATCCAGAACATTGTATGTGGCTGAAAACTAGACACCTGAACACATCATCCCCATGGCGATGTATTGAAAATGGTATGGGTTGAATGAGTTTCAGGGCGTTTCAGGGATGTGCGATAAATTGTTTTTATTGATTAACAGAATCAGGATTTTATGAGGGGGGTTTTAGCCAATGCGTTACTTTGATTCCCATAGGGAGATGTCATCACGTCCAAGGCCACCATCTTATTTGACAAGCGCGTCGTAAAGAAATTCTTCTGGTAAGATTGAGTCTTCATGTTTGCTAAAGTTATGACTATATTCTTGTAATTAACGAAAAGTCATTGCAGCCAGATTCTCCGCCACACAACTCACAGAAGGAGGGATTGAAATAAAAGTCGCTTTTTCCATCATTTGAAACGTCTGTTTTAGAGAAGAAAGTGAGAAATTAATTAACTAAAATCGGACCTAAAATGTGTTACTCTCTTATGCAAAGAGAGTAACACCTTGTAGAAAGAGTGATCCTCTAAACTCGCTCTAAAGTCCAGATAAAGTACATTAAATTAAATGACTGCAGTTTAAGGCATTGTGTGCTCTGAAACTCTCACTTTTTCTGATTAGTTGGTTTTTGTCGAGGGAAAAAGAATAAAGTTGAGGCAGGGCGGAGCAGCAGTAAAGCTGGTTCCCTATAAACATAACGTCTATTCTTCCTGAAAGCCCTCTGGGTGTCGATTCCGGATCCTTTTGGGGTCTTCCCCACTTCTGTTCCACTTTCCTGTCTAAATACTGTGAATAAAGGCCACAAAATCCTTCAAAGAAATGCTAAAGTTGTCCTGAAAGTTCACCCCAAATCAAGAAACAGATCTCCCATCCTTAACTCACAACCTCAGCTACTTTTAAGGTAAAAAAAAAAAAAAAAAAAAAAACTATTAT